AGTGGCATCAGAGCAGGAGCGCAGCGAGGTGTGCCGTGCCATGCCGTGCCATGCCATGCCGTGCCGAGCTAGCCTGGCCCAGCGAGCTGCCAGTCCCAGCAGAGTGAAGCACTAATCCCAGGTTGGGCAAGAGGAAATTGCCTAAGCACAGGGTGTTCCCCGGACACCACAGGGATGCAACTGGGGGGAGCTGCTCCCTTGTCACCCCTCAACTGGTCCCCTCCGCTGCATAAAGGGGGAAGGAGAGCCACCGGCGTGCCAAGCGGTGGGCCAGAGGGCGAGAACTGGGGCTGCGGGCTCGAAGCTGTCCCTGCTTCCCCGGGGGGCCCTTGGCTGACACGCAGCCCCCCCTGGCACCTCTTGTTTTGCAGAGATCTTCCACAAAGTGCAGATGCAGAAGCAGAGGAGCAGCCAAAGCAACACGGTGTCGCTTACCAGCGAGAGCCCGGAGAGCGCGGCGCAGACGGAGAAGCGCCCGTGCTGCGTGGCCCTCTGAGCTGGCCAGGCACCCTGGGAAGCCCCCAGGGACCCCCACAGCCCCAGGACACTCCAGTGGCATAGAGCTGGGTCCGCCTCCGCGCAGACTCGTCTGGCCACCGGCGCAGGCTGGTGTCACCCAGCCTGCGGTGCCACCCCATCCTGGTGCAGTGGGGACCAGCAGCCCGAACAGGGACCAGATTCTACCATAAATGGTGAGAAGCAGCAGTGCTGGGAGCTCTGCTCTGTTCTGCTTCGTTTTTGCCAGGCTCTGATTTGCATCACTACCGTCACGCGTCGACCTCCCGGCCCCTCCGGACCCACGGTGCGGAGGACTGAGACACCCCCGGGGCACCACTGGCGAAGGAGCCAGGAGGTTCTGGCCGGGATCGTGCCAGCAACGGGAGCTGCTCTGATTGCGTCTAGCCCTGGGGTTGCTCCTGTGGGGCCCACGTGCTGGGGATGTGGCTGTCCTCATGGGTCTCCGTCCCCACCGGGGACTGCTCTGGGGTCATGCCAAGCCCTAAGGAGCAAAGTGGCAGCGCTCAGCCCTTGGCACACCACTGTCTCCATCCCAGACATGCGCCAAGCGTGATGGCAGGACCTAGCAAAGGTCCCTCGTGTCTGCACAGCGGGACGGGGCTCGGTGCGGAGCCGGGTGCCCAGGGGCCCCGGAGCAGCTCCATGTCCAGTGTGACAGTGACGCAGTCATTAAAGGTCTTGTGAAATGCAGGTTTGCTGAGCTGGAATTCCTGCGTGTTTGTGGTCCCATCCCCTGGTCACCACCTCCACAACGTGCCGGAGATCGTGGCCACCCAAACAACCCAGCCTGATGCCACGGTCCCTCTGCACTCCCTCCCCACACAGCCTTTCCCAGTGCACACCCCCACACCCTCGGTGGCTTGTAGGGGGCGGCTGATGGTTTATCAGTCTGAACTGTGACCAGCATTGCCAACCGTGCCCTGGGCTGCACCCAGAGCAGCGTGGGCAGCAGGGCGAGGGAGGGGATTCTGCCCTTCTTGTGACACTCTCTGCAGTGTTGTGTTCAGCTCTGGGGTCCCCAACATCAGAAGGACACGGAGCTGTTGGAGCGGGGCCAGAGGAGGCCACGGAGATGATCTGAGGGCTGGAGCACCTCTGCTCTGGAGACAGGCTGGGGGAGCTGGGGCTGTTCAGCCTGGAGAAGAGAAGGCTCCGGGGAGACCTTCCAGCACCTCCCAGTGCCTAAAGGGGCTACAGGAAAGCTGGAGAGGGGCTTTGGACAAGGGTGTGGAGTGACAGGACACGAGGCAATGGCTTTGAACTGGAAGAGGGAAGATTTCGATGGGATCTAAGGAAGAAATTCTTCCCTCTGAGGGTGCTGAGGCACTAGACCAGGTTGCCCAGAGAAGCTGTGGCTGCCCCATCCCTGGCAGTGTTCCAGGCCAGGTTGGGTGGGCCTTTGAGCAACCTGGTGTAGTGGAGGGTGTCCCTGCCCATGGCAGGGGGTTTGGAACTGGATGATCCTGAAGGTCCCTTCCAACCCAAACCATTCCATGATTCTATGATTCAGTTATCCAAAACCCCTTGGAATTGGGAAAACTGCTGCTGGTTTCTCCTTATCTTCCGCTAATTCCAGGCCTTCACTTTCCCTTTGTGCCCTGCGGGATGTGCCAGCCCGGCTCACGCTCCGTGCTTCTCCGTGACCATCCCCGTGGGTGCCACACGCGGCCGTGGCCTTTCCTGCTGCCCCCCCGCCCCGAGGCCGCCCCGGGGGGTCTGTCC